AGAGAGAGAGAGAGAGAGAGAAAAAATTTTGAAAGAAGGTGTCATCGTGATCGTTCGACCGTAGACAAATCCATGAAGGCAAGAAAAAGCATCGCGCGCAAAGAGAGACGTTCTCGGTTGATCGTTTAATTTTCGCGTCGTTGAAACTCCGCCAAACTTGCAAACTTTTAATTGTCAGGAACGAACAGACAAAGCTGAGCCATCGCCTGTGTAGCGTGCCTATTACGCAAATAATTGAACTGCATCGTGTCGCGAGCCGTAACTGTTTGTTTATTTTTCATCGACGGTCGCCGACGATATGCGAACGCACACGATTCAACTGCGATTAGAACTGTAAATTTCTATTTGTCTGCGAAAGCAAATTTTCCAAATCAAGATCTTCTCCAGCACTTCGACAATTTGGTGGCAGGTTTTCGTAGGAGTACGAATTTTTATGGAAAAATAAATAAATAAACGCATAAATATTCGCTAGAGTGGTTGCGCAGTAACAAAAACCTCGATCCACTTGGCAACCAAACTGCCTTTGGATTGGAAAACCTTCAAACAGCCAGTGTGCATCGCAGAAAATCACTGTCGACGATCAAATCTTTCTGAATCGTTCGCCATAAATCTCTACCGCGGGAGAACTATTCTCGAACTCGTATTAAATCGGACCTCTGCCGATTCAAGTCGATTCAAATGTTGTTCTCATCGTTCTTCTCATCCGTCATTCTTTGCACACTGAACGTCGATAAAGCAGCGAACTGATTGCGAGCAGGGATTGCCAAGTGAAAATCCAAGTCGCGAAGATGCTGATGGTCTAGCAATAAGAAGAAGGATCGTATTCTGACGCGATTCGCGGGACACGAATTTACGAAGCGAACGACAAATTAAAAACTAAAGAATAATTGAGTATAAAATTGTAAATAAAATAACTTGTTTTATATTTAATATGAATGTACAAGTTAATAAAAAATTGTTAAAAAAAAGGTGTTGAACATGCAAATAATTTCTTCAAAGAAAAATTGTTATTAATATAAAATGATGTAAAAATTCTATTTTAAATTATATAAAATGATGTAAAAATTCTATTTTAAATTAATTCAAAAATTTAGAAAATGAAATAGAAATAAATTTTATAATTGAAGACAGTAAAAAAAAAATTTGTCCTCAAGATGATTTTTCATAGCAATAAATTATCCAATTATGAAATGGAAATATACTTAATTTAATAAATAATATTAGTATTGTAAAATTAAACGAACGGCGTTCCTTGACGATGAAGATGATCAGTTTGCCATAGTTAGATGTCGTAACGAGTCGTTTGCACCTGGTGGCATTCCTCTATAGAGGTGAAAATTCTTCTATTATATTCTATTATACTATTATACTATTATATTCTATTATACTTCTTCTATTATATTATCTAAATCTACCTAATTTATTTCGAGCTGGAGTACTTCGTCGTTGCTTTTACGGCGAATGTTCGTTCGGTTTTTAGCAATAGCTCTCTCTTTTGTGCGCCAGAACAAGATAGAACAGCGAAGAACGTAATTTTTCGAGTCTGAAGAGCCGTAATTAGGATGTTAGAAGAAATACTCAGAAACGTGACGTAACTCGGCGATCTGTTATTCGGCGCGAAGCAATTTCTCAGGTGAGGCAACCTCCTCGCTGAACGATCAGCAGTTTTTCTTTTTTTTCGGCTGCTCGACCGCCTCGAGCCTGGTTTCTGCTTCACTCGACAGGAATTCGTCGCGACTCGCTTCGATCTTCCAATCATCAGGCCCTTTTACTTGCTCGTAAAACTATCGAAAACTCCAAATTATTCTCGTGGTACGAGAGTTCGAATGCTTGCAGAAATATCCGGCGTTGCGAATTATTTTCACCACTCTCGAGATTGTT